CTGAAGAGGAAACTTCAACTATTTATTTAATTATTTATTATTTATTTTTGAGGAGATAGTTCTCTGTTCGTAAGTTCTCCCAAAATATGATGGTTAGAATTACTGCCTGTGATCAATCATATTTATGAGAGAAATATAGTAGGGCCTATAATGAGATTCTGAAAAATGTCCAGTTTAGCTGCAAAAACAACAACAACAACAAACAGACCTGAGATGAAAGGTCATCTAAATGGAAATGGACCTTATACAAATAGGGAGGTTTTGTTTAGATGCCAGCTGAAACCTATTATTTTCCCTCAAGATCACATTAGACCACCCCTTTGAGCTCTTTAATTGTGTATTAATGAAATCAAAATTGATGTTCTGTCTCTTACTGTTCAGCAGGGAGAGAGAAAATGTATGACCATGAACAAAGGCACATATCCTGTTGATGTTAATGGCTAAATAAACTTCAACTGATTTGAATAGTCCTGAATTACAAGAAAATCATCCCCTTCCCACTTGACTTCCTCTTACTGTAAAAAGCAGTAACAAAAATCTTGTCCAGTTATATCAGAAAGGAAAATCAAAAGACCTTCCTTTCAATACTATTGGCATTGCTATCAGTAGTTGGAAAGAAAGGATGAAAAGATGAAGATCTGACAAGTAACCTACTTCAATCTTCCTCACTAGCTACTTACCTTTATTCCTTGGTGCACGAGGGAACAGGCTGCAGTTTTGACCTCTTTCTTATGGCTTTTCTATTGTATACAAAGAGAACTCTCTTGAATATATTCTTGAACAATGTATTTGTGTGAGCAGCAACAATACTCTGTATAGGTCTTACATCACAGTAGGTATCATTTTGTAAGTGTTCCATACTACATCTACTGGATGGCTAGATACTTTCCTGTTCTGGCAACTGGATGGCTAGATACTTTCCTGTTCTGGGAAAAGCAACTGTGCTTGTGTGTGTGTGTGTGTTTGCAAAAGAACTGAGTCAAATCTCAGTCTCCTTGTACATCCATAGCCAAGCACAGCCTTCCTGTCTGTGCAGTGGGACAGGCCCTACCATTAGGGAGGCTATGGCCTCTGCCTCAGATACAAGGAAACAGGGGCTGCAGCCTCAGGCAGCAAAGTGAGCCAACCCTGATGCTTAATCTCCTACCTCCTTTCTAATGAGGAAATAGAAAGACTGAGTCAAATCTCAGTCTCCTTGTATATCCATAGCCAAGCACAGCCTTCCTGTCTGTGCAGTGGGACAGGCCCTACCATTAGGGAGGCTATGGCCTCTGCCTCAGATACAAGGAAACAGGGGCTGCAGCCTCAGGCAGCAAAGTGAGCCAACCCTGATGCTTAATCTCCTACCTCCTTTCTAATGAGGAAATAGAATAATTCCCTCCGCTCATATAAACTGTCTGTGTGAGCACACTTCAGGTTTATGGGATCTGCTTTTTTATTATTATTATTGAAACTCAAGATTCACCAACTGTAACATTTACAAGCTTGGATCCTTTCATCTGGGATTAAATCCTGCAGAACTCTAAGAATTTTCTTCTGAGTTGGCATGAGATTAAGCTGGAGCACACGGTCTTTTTTACACACAAAACCGGCTCCTAATTATGCCATAGTTTCTTAATTTCAGTGGTGTAATTTTGGGGCAGGAAGAGACTGCCTTTGTTGGTGTTACTGTTACTTGTTAAATAACTGAGAGCCACAAATGCATGCTGATTAACTGCTTATCATCCAGAGATGTATCATTAGAGCCATACCTACCTCCTGCCCACTTGTCTGAATTCACACCTCCCTGTGTTTGAGAAGACTACTGTATATACACAGTAATTGTAACACAAGAGGTAGCTTCTTGCATTGTGTACAATAAGCTACTGTTAGGTCAGAATAGGGAGAGAAAGAATGGTTTCTTCTACACAAAGGTGTCAGACAAGCATGCATTTTATCTTCCAGTCTGTTCAATCAGGAGGAGTGAAAAGTGGTGGAAGAAACATATGACACAATTTTATTAGCAGAAAGCAGCTATGACTTGAAATGGCTTCTGATGAAAGTGAAAACAGAAAGTCTCAAAGCAGGATTGCAGTTGAACATTAAAAAGAAAAAAAAATACAGAAGTACAAAACTTTAATGTTGACAATGATGAAACTGAAATTATTAGATATTTTGTATACCGTGGTTCAATCATTTAACAGGACACTACACTAAGAAATTAGAAGAAGACTGAGACTTGGAAGAACAGCAAAGAAAGAATTAGAAAAGATAATCAAGTGTAAGAATTTAGAAGAGGTAGCTGTGTTAGTCTGTGCTAGCATGTCAGGGAAAAACAAAACAAAAAATAAAGAAGACAAAAACATTGTGTCACTTTAAGGGCTAACTGGCAGATTTTAATGTGAGCTTTCATGGACAAGTCCACTTCTTCAGAGATTGTCTTCACTTTTATATTTTTGTCTTTATTTTATTTAGTTTTTGCCTGACAAGTGCAAGGATGTGTCACTGGAGACCAAGGCCAAGATCATCCACGTTAATGTACAGTGGTGCCTTAATTTATGAAGGTCCCTACTTACGGCCATTTTGAGTTATGACCAGCTCCGGCTACAAAATTTTGCTTCTACTTGCGAGCGGAGCTTCTGCTTACGAACAGAAAAAGGCAGGGAAAAAAAGTGGGACATTCAAATTGCTAAATGTAGGTGGCAACAAGACCGCTTCTTTGTAGCTCTTTCGCTACAGCAGTTAGAGTGTGTGTGTCAGAGGAGGCTTGAGATTGCCTCGCTTCTGCTTCTGAGTAAGTGTATGTGTTTGTTTGCAGGCAGCCTTCGGGCTGCCTGGTAAGGTAAGGTGCTGTTTTCTGCTTTTTTAAAATGGTTCTGGGTGTTTTTTCAGTGTGGTTTTGGGCTGGGAGGGGTTGTGTTTCTGTGCTGTGCTGGGTCTTGGGGGGTTTGTTTTTTTTTTGTTCCCCCCCCAACCCCCAATGAGTTTTGTGGGTTTGGTTTCTTTTTGTAGTGTT